ATAAAGCACTTTTAATGTTTTTCTTGACTAAGGGTCCACTTTAAAGCCCAAAATATTTCCTTTGTAATTCTTTAGAGAGAGAATACAGAGAAGATAGCAAGAAACATCATTTTTTTATGTCACTAAGAAATCTCTATGAAATATATCACACGTTTGTAAATGCCTAACATAGAGTTTGTAAATAGAGTTTGTAAGTAAATAAATCTGATTAATTACTTTTATAAAGAATTACATTTTGTAAGTGATGCTATTCATATTTTGGTAAAATATAACTTTTCATATGCCAAGAGGGGGAGACAAATGTGCTCTCTATAAAAGTCCAGTAAAAGTATGATAGAGAATGTACTAAAAAACACTACGCTCTTATATAAATCTTTCTAAATTTTAGAAATTTAAGATAGAAAGCCATTCTGATATACATAATGTATTGCAGAGTGTGTGGAAGTTTGAATGAATGTATGATACAAAGGCAGACAGAGTGCAGGTAGTCCCCGGGTTACGAATGTTCAACTTTAAGAATAACTCTTATTAGCTCTTTAATGTGTAAGACTTTGAATGGCTTTTATCATGCTGAGAAAGCAAAACAGGAAGAGACTAGAATTTTTACCATTTGGGTGATTTGCCACGGTAACTGGAACAGGGAAAATTATGGTGGAAGCCCTGGAATGGGAGATATGAAAGAGGCCTAGTGAGCCTTTTCAGGAGTCTGATGTGTGAGATGTGATTACTGACAGGACTGTGGAAGCCACATTCCAAGCAGCATGGTTGGCTGTCATCTTTAAGCACAGTGATGCCATCTTTGAGTAGAGCACCACCATCTTTGAAACCTGCTTTAATGTTTTGTAAATCTGTTCTCACTTTGAACTGAACAAACAAACCGAATGAGACTATAAATCTTTATCCCTCGGAACTGCTGGTGGGTTTGAACTAAACTTGCAGTTAATAGCCCAATGCTTTAAGCCACAGTGCCACCAGGGCTCCCTGAACCAACGCCAACTTGTAACAAATTGTTCATCAAAAGTTTCTACACCATGAAACTTTTAATCACTAAAATAGCTTCAAACATTTTCTTGCACTAAACTAAGGCTAAATTGGACTTCTAGAATGGCAGTGTAGGATCAGTAGTGCACTGCAAACCACAAAGTCGGCAGTTTAAACCTACAAGCTGCTCATCAGAAACCCTATACAGGGTCACTGTGAGTCGGAACTGACTCGATGGCATTTAACAACAAAGGCTAAGTAAAAACCATATGCACCTGGTCTGACCTACAAATTTTTAAAGAGTTAGGAATGGAACTTGTTGATAACCTAGGGACTGCCTGTAATCAGATTATGCAAAGTTTTCAACCCATTTGGAGATCCATGTCACAGAGCAACAACATCCTTATGATATTTGCTATACTGAGGACCTGTAATGTATAGGTCATAGGTCCTATGGGACTTTATATTCATCATCTCTAACAATCATATAAAGTAGAAATTATTATTCTGATTGGACAGAGTAGGGAACTGAGGTGTAGAGAAATGACTTGATCAAGGACACACATCTTATAAATGGTAAACAAAGTATTTGAATTCAAGTTTGTCTGTCTTTAGAAGGCTGTGCTGCCTCATAATGGTGTTAGAACATGTAATTGCTATGATTAAGTTATGAAAGCAATTTATGCTAAAGATATATTGATCAATTCAAATGAAAATCAATGCACCATTTAGGAAGCCTAACTGAAACCACAAAGAGCAATTATCCTATTTGTAGCAAGAATATATAACAAAGATCACAAAATTTATTTGACATGTTACACATATTAAGCTGGAAAAAAAATCTCAAACTAGGCAGAATTTAAGTGACCAATAAACTCAGCCTTTACCAGGTGTAAGAGCTGATCAGAATCTATCCTGAGAGCATAGATCCAATGCCTTGGTATATTTAGTAGAACAAATTAAGATAGATTTTTTTCCTACTTCATGCAAAGTAAAATATACAAAAAAAATGTACTTTCAATTAAATAGCTAGCATTTCTTGAGTATCTACTATTGAATACCAACATTCTTTCACTTAATTCTCATTACAAAGGTAATAAAATAGACATTTCTAACCTGTTTTATGAAAAAAAAAAAATGAGACTCAGAGTCATATAGCTCAAGTTACAGAGGTTTGCCAGGCCCCAAAGATCAAATTCTTAAACATTACGCAACATATAAGAGGCTTGAAAACATTCATGGAAAAATTCCATTATCTTTTCATTCTATTTGTCCACAAACTTTTTGAAGCCCCCTTGTAGTGCTAAATATTTGCTGAAGCTTATCATTTCTTAATAAACACTTACAGAATAGACAGTTGTTTACTGCTAAAGATTCTAAATTTAAAAGGTACTCTATATAAAGTTACCTGTGCCTTTTCAGTACTTGTAGGATGAAGCTGCCGGTCAAATACTTTCTTTACAATATCAAGAAGCAAACATGTAACAACCATGAGGATTATGGCAAACCAAGCAGAACCACTTGATAGAAGTTGAATAAATACAAAGTACATATTCTGAGACCCCAAAAATGGCCTGCAAAGAAAACAATGTAGGTTTCATCAAAGTGGGAAATTAAAGACCTCATGCAAACTTACTATATTTTAATGATATGATTATAAGAATATCTCATAAAAATGTTCAAAATTTTAAATCTGTATAATTTGAATAATTAAATAGCCTTTGTTAAAAATATCTGATTTAATTACTTTCAATGACAACTATAGACAGTGTCAGGGAGTTGACATAATTGAGATAATTCTATCTTAGTGAGAAAAGCAAGAAGTACCTAACAAGATACACATCTACCACCGTTGACCACACTGAAAGGAATCACATTAGAAGGTCCTGGATAGAAAAAATATGGGACAAAACTAAAAATCATAAAAAGGCCAGGTTTACTGGTCTGATAGAGACTGTTGGAATCCCCAAGACTGGCCCATAGTTACCCTTCAGGTCTAGAAATGAACTCCCCAACACACCACCCTACACTCCCTCTACAACCCAACTCAATTTTCAGTCAAACAACAGACAGGTCTATAAGGTGAACAGTTACCTGAGGGAGGTATGCATTCCTTAGAACAATCAACCATTTGAGACTAAGTTCAAAGGAAGGAAGGGTTAGGTAAGAAAGAAGAATGGGAATGGGAAACACAGGGAGGACCTGGGATAAGTGATGTTAGATTGTGGGGGATGTAATCTATGACATGAAACAAAATGCATATGAACTGCTGAATGGGAAATTGATTTGTTTATAAACCTTCACCCAATTTACCATAAAAAGTTTAAAAAAAAGAAAGAAAGAATCTTAGGAGAGACATTAACTTTTAATCCATCACGGTAGCTGTGTATCAGACTCAACAATAAAAGCTAAGCAAATTATCTTTGAGAAAGACGTTAACTCGTACCATCTAAGTTTAATGGTACTGTGTGATTTATTTTATTACATATGTCAGTAAAGAATTTAGAAGCAATATGTGAGTGCAAAGAACATTAACTAGATAGTAAAATAATCTGGGGTTTAAATTCTGACTTTTTGTTACTTTTTACAAACCTTTATGATCAGTTTCACAGAAAAAAATGATGATAAATTATTGTGATAAGTATAGGATCTTACATGAATGTAATAGCTTACATAAAACACCAAGAATGTAGTAAAGTATTCAATAAATGTTTGTTTCTTTCTCCAGATCAGTAAGATCAACGGAAAGAGGTAAATTTATCAATGCAATAGGGTCTCAAAACTATTATGTACACATTTTATTTATAATAAAATCTAACACAATTATGAGGGCAAGTAAAAAAGTATTGTTACAGAACCACAGAAATCTTTACTAAAACAAAAATATAAAAATGTGAAGCTATTGTTTTTCCACATATCCTCCATCTGGGTCTTTACACTTCTGAAAGTGGTGTTTCTATCTTTCCATGTTTCTCTGAAGAATTCTGAGCTCTTCAATTTATACCATTTCAAAATGCTAGTTTTACGACCTTTGAGGGACTCAAATCATGTTCCTGTTAACAGTTTTGGGAACAAAAAGTCTGAAGATGTCAGATCAGGGACATAGGGTGGATGGAATAAGATTTCTTACCAAAATTCTCATAGGGCAGCCCTTGCTACCCTTGAAGACTGAAAATGTGCATTATTGTGATAGAAAAAATTTCCTTGGTGCTACACTCTTGGCCCCTTTCTCACCAAGAAGTTTTAAAATTTTCTTAAAATGTTTTCATAATAAGCCCCCAAGATCGTCCTGTATCCTTCGAGAAAATCTACCAAGATAACCCCTTTTGGAATCCCCCAAAATAGTCGCCATAACCATCTGAGCTTACCTCTCTGCCTTAAATTTAACTAGCCCAACAGATGCCCTCTGAAGTCACTGTTTTAATAGCATTCTTTTACAAAGGCATCCTAATGAGACCAAGACAAGTGTACTACTGAAAGAACTTGTCGGTAGCAAACCACTAATCACAGAGACATGTTTAAACATGTCTTGTTTGGAACAAATCCATGTATGTATAAATTGGAACCCTGGTAGCAATATGTCAAAATTTATTTTTATAATTATTATAGTCAAATCAATATCATTAAAATACAATACATTCACTCACCAGAGAATCCCTCCATAAAACAAGGAAAACACAAAATAGAATATAATAGACCCCCAGGTCACAAGATGATTCATCCAGGTCCAGAAATGAGTTTCCAAAGCCATCTAAAAAAGAGAAAATCTTTAGGAATATAACATAATCACTTTAAACTTTTAGGAAAAAACTAGAGAATGAAATGTATTAACTATAAGTGATTTAGAGTGTTATGGGAGAGTCATTCAGAATGCAAGGGTTCTCATATGAAACAGAAGCACTTCTTGTGCATAATATTTTTCTTCTGTGAAGCAAAACACTGAAATTTCATGTGACTAGTCTCAACTCTCATGGCCTAGCACAAATTCTGTTATCTTGTATTATATGCAAATAAATAAATCTTCATTTGATCATTAAGATGAGCTGAGGCTTTCCAAAATAATGAACTTACAAAATAAATTTTTTGACAAAAATAAAAGTGAATTATTAAACTACAAGTCAGTGAAATAGAGGGAAAAATCTATCTATGACTAAAGGAATAAAGGAAATATACTACTAATATAAATACAAAATGTGTCCATATTTCACATTTCAGTGCCATACCTTTACTGTGACTGTAATAACCATGACCGTGAAGACCAATGTGCCAAATGTCCAGTTTCCAAACATCTGAACAGAAAGAATCAATTACATGTCAATCTGATATACATCAGGTATAAAGCAAAAAGCAATTTCATTTCTTGACTGAAAATCACTTGCATTATTTAAGTCATTTATATTTGAAACCTGTAACTATTTTAGTAAAGTACATATGAGAAGAAATGCTGCAAAGTATTATTACTACGCAAAATGATGCCTTGGATATTATCAGCCCAAAGATGGGCTGGGAATTATGTGACACTTACTGTTTTAGTATATATATTAGAATGATATACTAGTTAGTGATTCATTTATTCCTGTCACACAGCAAAATTTATAACAAAAAACTCTGTCTAGTTATAACTATTTTCTCAAATCACTGCAACAGAAGTGATAGCAGCTCACATGCCACTGTATATCTGGATACAGCATCAATGAAACAAGAAACCTCATACAATACTAATACCTAAAAGGAAGGATAATGGCCAATGGAGTTGCTAATTAAAGAATCCTATATAAAAATGCAGTGAATGCCAGTCAGAAAGTATTTTATTAGGTGTTAAAGCCAAAACTCACTAAAGTTCATTAAAAATACAGAGCCCCAAAAGAATGTTTGGACTTTATTCTCAAAGACAGGAACACAACCAAGAGCATAAATGACTGTAGTTTTCAAAGTAACCATCATTTTTAACATTGGCTTAAAAAGTACCTAAAAGGTTGTTTCTTTAACTATAGACTTATTTCTAAAAATTAGCATACATTTGACAAATTGCTTAACCTCTCTGTATCTCATTTTCGTCACTGTAAAAGAGAGGTAAGAATTAGGATTTATGAAAAGCACAGGATGCCTGATATATATAAGCAATCAATAACTTACTATTAACAATAAAAACTTAACACACATTCCTTTACTTGAAAGTAGTTATGTCAAGAGGGAAAAATCATATTGTTTATTTTCCTGCTTTTATAATTTCTAGAAATGACCTAGAGATAGTGAAAATCATTGGGTCTGTTCTGAGTTGAAAGATCTAGAGATCAGCTCTTAGAGGAGGATCAGTCTCCTCCTTCAGGGCTATGGAGACAGAGAATCTGCTGCTGCCAGGGACATGGCACTCCCATTCACTGTCTCTCCCTCAGTAGCTGGTTTTACTGGGCCCTGGCTGGAGGCTAGTTATACGTGGATTTATGGTTTCTGCCTGCCTAGGTCCCATTCAAGACCTTAAAACACACAGAAACATTCACAAGATCATTTTGTTTTCCTTTGGTGGGGAAGATCATTTTGGTTTCCTTTGGTGGGGCAGGGGGAGTAAAATTAGCAAATGTGAAGTCTGCTGTCTGTTTCCATTCCCTTGAGCAGGCTGGTAATGAAGTGAGTGGCAAAAGGAGTTTTCGGAATCTGTCTAAAGAGAAGTAGAGTTGAACTTACATAGGATTTGGGTTTAGTGGGATGTAATATTTATGTCATTATAACACCTGTCTGTTAGTTGGTCATACAATGGTAGCCTGTGTACTGCTGTGATGCCACCAATATTTAAAATACCAGCAGGATCACCTAAAGTGGATGGGTTTTAGCAGAGTTTCCAGACTGTGAAGAAAGGCAATGTACTTCTGAAAACTGGCCAACAAAATCCTATGGATCCCAACAGAACAGTGTCCAATATAGTGCTGAAAGATGAGCACTATAGGTTGGAAGGCACTACACAGTGACTGCAACAAAGACCCTAAACATACCAACAATTACGAAAATGATAAAGGACCAGGAAATGTTTTGCTTTGTTATATATACATAAGGTTGCCATGAATCAGAGTTGATGCAACATCAACTAACTAACAAGTCTAGGTCACTCACAGCACTTACACAAATACTCAAGTTTGTATTTGGAATTGTAAGTTATTTTTGATTTATGGTGGGCCTGACAAAATGTGTAAGGTTTAGACTCCACTCCACTTAGATCTGCTCCTGGCTTGGGAGAAAGATGCTCAAAATATTTTCCACCCAATCTACATATTTTCTGGATCTAATTTGTTACCTAATTATTTAATAAAATCAAACTTGAATCCCAAGTATATTATATGCCAAAAGACATAACAGTCCTTAGGGCTATTGTAGTGATAAGTTCTCATGGAGTTTACACTTAATAGGAAACAGACAATAAAAAACTTCAAAATATGTACTTTAAGGTAGAGACTAGTGCTTTTACCTTCCATCACTTCCTGACCTCTTACTCTAGTAAGGTAGAGACTCTTACTTGACAGTAAGAGGTCAGGAAGTGATGGAAGGTGAGGGAGATGGCATTTTACTGGAGTGGGTCCACTGATGTTTCAACAGAGATGTGAAGGGAGCCAGTCACATGACTTTCTGAGAGAAAAGCATTCAGGTAGAGAAACAGCAAGTGTAGAAATCCTACAAAGGAACAAACTGGCTTGTTGAAGAAACAGGAAAAAGAGTGAGCAAAAGAATGGATGGTAGGAAACACACTCCAAGAGGTGAGAAGAATCAGCTCACGGTGTGATTTTACACAAAATGTGTAAGAAGTTATTGGTGCATTTTAAGTCCGGTGGAGACCTGACTCGCTTCTCATTCTAAAAGATCATTCTGGCTGCTGTGCAGAGAAGAGACTGTAAGAAAGGAGTAGGAAGGAGGTAAGAGACAGTGAAGATCTGGACTGTGGTGAAGGTGGAGAGAAGTAGAAAGCTTCAGGAGATATTGTGACATTAAAACCTATGTGACTGCATATAGATTTTGATTCCTGGACTTATGCTGAAGCTGGTGGTTAAAACGGTGGCTCCAATTTTAAATACTGGCGGATTAGACAGGAAGTGGTTGGTAGAAGACACCTTGAATTCTGTTAGCTACACCAAGTTTGAGAATCTATGAGAATTCTAGGTGAAGCTGGATAGTTCTGAAAGTCTGGGAAGAAACTGCACAGATATCATTTTGTGTATTTTCAGCCTAGTAAGTTGTATTTACAGGCATGAGAAGGAATGAGGTCACCTGGTGTACAGATAAAAACTGAAAGAAGGGCTAGCGCTGAGTAGCAGCGACCACTTCATTTAGAGCAGTGGTTATCAAGAGGAGGCTGCTTTGCTACCCAATGGACATCTATCTGGCAGGGTCTGGAGACATTTTTGATCATCACAAGAGGGTTGTATGTATCTGTGCGATTGGCATCTCATGGGTTGTTGTTAAGTACCACTGAGTTGGTTCCGACCCACAGCACCCTGTATAGGGTTTCCAAGGAGCGGCTGGTGAACTAAGTAAGGTGTTCTGACTCCAAATGTCACTGTTGCAGAAATGAACAACCCAGATTCTGAGAACAGGATGAGAAGACTGAAAAGGAATAGGAAGTAAGGAAACCAAAAGAGAGTGGTGTTACAGAAGCTAAGAAAAAATAATGTGGCAGGAAAGAAAGTCTCATGAGTTGTGCCCAATAGTTCACAAGGGTTCAGCTATGTCTTTGGAATTAGCAATGGTGTGGTGCTGTAGGATAAACACTGGATTGCTAAAATCAAGGTCAGCACTGCAAACCCACCAGCTATTCCTTGAAACCCTAATACAGGTCACTATGAGTTGGAACTGATTTGATGGCACTCAACAACAACAAGAGAGGTAGGCTGGTGACCAAAGAGCATGGTTTTGATGGGAAGATGAAAATCTCACCAAAGTTGGTCCAAGAGAAAACAGGAGGTCAGGATGTAGAAATAGTGGGAAAAGATAACTTCTTGGAGTATTGGTCTAAAGATATATGAAGAAATGTCATGTGTAAGAGAAAGCTCTTATAGCATATTTATACACTGAAGAATTTGATCCAATAAGAGACTGATAGTAAGAAAAAGAGAGAGGAAACTACAGGAGTGAAGTCCTGGATGGCTCCAAATGATAAACACTTGACTGTGAACCAGAAGGTCCATGGGTTCGAGCCTGCCAGCCACTCCGTGGGAGAAAGGTGGTGCTTTTTGCTCCTGCAAAGATTTAAAATCTTGGAAACCCTATGCAGGGTTCACTACCAGTCAGAATCGACTAGAAGGCAGTTAATAACAACCACAAAAATCAAGTCAGGATTTAAGAATAAACAAGAGATTAAAACTTTTTAAAATTTCTTGTTTATTCATGTATAACTATACATCTATCTATAAAAGAATTGTCTTCCCTAGGGTTAATCAGGAATCCTGCTGTGGCACTGTAGGATAATCATTGAACTGCTAATCACAAGGTCATCAGTTCAAACCCACCATGGAAACCATATATAGGGTTGCTAACCTGCACAAATGATCTATTTATTTTCGTTTTTAAATATCTGACCAATTGCTGGGTAAAAATATTAGAAGCAAGGTATACTTTTCTATTCTCCTCTAAGGTAGGCTGGTTGTTGTTAGGTGCCGTTGAGTTGGTTCCTACTCATAGTAACCCTGAATCAGGTTTTCAAGGAGCAGCTGGTGGGTTTGAACAATCAACCTTGTGGCTAGCAGTCCAGTGCTTGCTGTATAGCACCACACCAGGAGTTTCTAGTAAGTGCCTAGAATATGGTTAGCATTTCAAGTATTTGCTTAATGAATAAATGAACACTGGGGGAAACTTTATAATACACTAGATAATCAATGGTTTTTGTCATACAGTTTTTCTGTTCAATCTTTATGTACTGATAGGAATTAAACTGTATATATGTTTTTGAATGGCAATTACAGTGGTTAATCATCTGAACTGAAATCAAAGTACTGCATTCTTTGGGGAATACAGATATACAACAGTATATTTCTAATCTTAATAGAGCTCTTATCAGCATTTGATGGTTAGGTCTCAACAGCTGAAGACATGTAGAGCATGAAAGAGAAATTAATTAAGGAGAGGAAATAAGGGGAGAAATTGTTTAAAATTTCAAGAAAAAAATACTCCATGAAGACTTCCATTTCTCTGTCTCCCAGAATTATAACCTGAAGTTTCATCTCCTCAGCCTACTTTATATTGTTAATGATTTCTCTCCAACTAATCTGGCAAGTAGGAGTCCTGGTGTGGTACTGTGGGTCAATGT